TTTTTTTTTTTTTTTTTTTTTTTTTTTTTTTTTTTTTTTTTTTTTTTACTAGCAACTTGACTGAACAGTACCGTCTGATTTTTTTTAAATGATTCGAGCCTGAATTGTGTAAGCAATACAAGATCCTACAGCGATAAAGCCATGTTCGCTAGGGGAAACGGTGATCTCGAAACGAGTGGCTTCGATCGCGCGTGAAAGCAAGCGGGTGTATCGTGCGCGAGGAGATTCCGCCGCAGGCATTGCGTCACGCAAATCGAATCCTCGCGGGTTAGAAAAATCGCGGACAGATAGGTATGCTCGTGGCCCTCGACATGCCTCCGAGTAATTCTCTATGAAATCGATTCTGACCGTCTGGTATTGTAAACGCTGAATATGCACAATCGTACGGCGATTGCGTAATGTTAGATACTCTCAAAGAAATCGTTTCTACCAGTCAGCAGGTAGCCGGCGTGTGCACCCACCATCATTGGTATCGGTTGTTCTTTTTTGGCTCCGCTATACTCTAGAAAGTTGTTGCACCGGTATCACCAATCCTACACGATACACCAGTTTCATATTTTACATGGTGTACGGCTGTTGCGCGTAAATTTCCGTAGAAATCGGCACGATATACTATCTATTTGAGCTCTTATTTAATACTTCTTTTTCTTCGTCCTATATTTACAATTCATTTTTATTTTTACAGAAACAGCTAACGCTATATGTGAACCAGTACTAGATTCATCATGAAATACTCCATTTTCATCGAAATGCTTTTGACGTATTGTCGAAGGGCAAATATTTATAAAATTCATCGTTGTTGAAACGTGGGAAGGATTGAAAAGAAAAGACTTCGATCTGTAAGGCGTTCCCACGCGTTCGTACCACATCAAAGAGCCTTTCCTAGCTGTTGTTTATATCATGAATGTGCGATCGGCGCAGTAATCGGTATCGAAAAAGGTGTCCGGTCAGCGGGGGGTTGCAAAATGGTTAGAATGTAGCTAGGACGAGGATGACGATGCCGACTCTATATATAAGAGCCTCGTTGCCACGGAATATTCTATTCACCGTGTCTTTGAATAATGCAGATTCATCGTCGTTCCAATGAGCGATGATTGTATCGCGATATAGCACCATTTCTTCTTCGTTTCCTATCCTCCCTCTTTCACAAGCTCATCGTTGCTTCGATAAACAACGAATGCGATTATTCGTCGAGGGTAAAGCAGCCTCTCTTTACGTTTGCCAATAGTTTTGCTTCTTGAAATTGGAAGAATCTCGTGAACGAGTCGAATTACTTCAATAAGGACAAATAAACATAGGAAGATGCGATAATCGATTCGAAGATTAAAACATTTCTGTTAAAACAATTAATGCAATTAAATCGTCTCGCAAGTTTTTTATTGCCTTGGAATTAACATCTTTCTTGGTCATTTTTCTCCTTTATCTTATTAAATTCAATTTTCAGAGTAGAAGCTGGCTGAAATTTTGAAATTAATCGGACACGAACGGATCAGACGCTACTCCCTCGAGTATCTGCACGATTTCTAGAAGCTTGTACGCTCGGTACCACCGAGTATTACTAAAGACGAGAGTACTAGTTTGCAACATAAAACGCGAAGGTGAGAGGCAAGAGGGAAGACCCGGGTTACCAGTTACCTTACCTGACCTCCCCTCGTAAGAGTACGCGCCGGTGACTCGCGTCTTCTTTCCCGAGAGCGTAGCTGTGCCGCGGCCTGTTGCGGTGACCTTTGCACGTCGCGGAAAACGCCGATGCTCCGTGAGCGAGCGAGTGGCACGAATCGAACGCGACTAGTCGATTTCGAAAGTCTCATCGCGGCGGAAGAGCCGTCGGGGTGAGAGGACGGGGACGAGGAGGATGATGATAATGATGAAGAACAACTAGAAGGCCGATGAAGAACGTTCCCCTTCGTTTAACTATCGACGTTTCTTGTTAGGTCACTGATAGATGCGTTTAAATGGAGAAGCAAGGGGGTGTTTCGACACCTGTCGCCCCTTGTTCTCCGGCCACAAGGTCGTTGGAAAACCTGTTT